TTCTATTGTTCTTCCTCTCTTGGTTTGATAAACATAAAAGTTAATATTAAAGCTTACTTGTAACGTTTGTATGCCATTCCTTTTTTAGCTGCACGTGCCTCAGCCGGTTCAAGGAAAACAACCTAAAGGTCATGTAAGACAAGGTCAGAGAATAATCCACTATTCATCGAAGAGACTGGAGTAGAACACGTAGAAAGAAAAATACCAAGGCTATCGTCTTCGTCGGAGGGAGAACAATTTTGTCTAGACTTCCAAATTTTCCAAACATTTGAGCCAGTTCCTTTTCAGTAGAAGCAAATGGCAAATTCTTTACTAAGAGAATATGTTTGCTTCGAAGCTTGTCATCGCCTTTCCCTGCAGCAAATTCTTCCAAAGAACTGACATTTACTCCAGCTTTAGCAAGGGCTTCTTTGGTCTCTGCAATCACTTTTGTTTCTCCCAAAGCAAGGCGTACAGCAGGATCTTCAGCTTCACGGTCAAGAAACTCACTCTTGCTTATACCATACACCCTGACAATGTTTTCTAGAATCTACAACACACAAAGGAAAAGAAAAAAATCATGAAGCAAAGCAAAAAGCCAGAATTTAAAAAACATTGATGGATGCATTCTTGAAACAAGGAAAGCATACAGTATCGGGTCGCATGAATAAACTATTCCAAGCTTTTGTATTTCCACCAGCTTCAGACGCCTTTCTTTGTTCCTCCCTCTTTTGCTTGAATGTTTTTGGCAGATTCGAAGCGTCATTTCTGTTGGGTAAAGCCACAGATAAACAACTAATGAAAATTCTAGACTAGTCCACTGTAATATTGCAAGTTTGAAGACTGAAACTTAGAAAGGCCAGGCCACTGACACTTGTTTATCAGACATTTCACGGTGCTTGGCGGGCAAAATATGCAACAACCGCCCTTGGAAAATTGAGTTATCTAATTCCTTCATTGCCCTGCATCACCATCCAAACAATTTACAAGTTAAAGATCAACATAAGGCTACATCTTGACTAGCATTCACTTAGACCGCAAGGGGTGATCAACAGCTAAAAACCAACATAAGGATACTTTTTGGCACGGATAGTACCTTGCTGCAGATTCTGGAATCGGGTAAAGGATGAAGGCAATCCCTTTGGACCTTTTTGTCTCCTTGTCAAGAACAAGATGGACCTCTGATATTTCACCGAATTTGCTAAAATGTTCCATAAGCTCTTCTTCTCTATTCCATGAGAAGTATCGACAACAATCAGATGGATAACAGAGCGATAAAAAGAAAAAAGGAAAACAATACAGAAGATGAACAAGTCAAGAAGATCCAGTACGTTGCAGTGTAAGGCAGGTTACGGACGAAAAGGCGACCAGTGTCAAGAACATCATCACTGTCAGCTTTCAATTCTTGAGCCATCTTGCCATCGGCTTCAACCTCCATGG